CGCACCCGCGCACGCGCACGCACGCACGCACGCACGCACGCACGCACGCACGCACGCACGCACGCACGCGCGCACGCGCGCGCGCGCACGCGCACACGCACACGCACACGCACACGCACACGCACACACACACACACACACACAAACACACGACGCACACACACACACACACACGACGCACACGACGCACACGACGCACACGACACACACGACGCACGCGACACACACGACACCCACACACACGCGACACACACGACGCACACCCACAAACACACACCCACACGCATGCACCCGCACCCACACCCACACGCGCACGCACACGCAGATGCACACGCACACGCACGCGCTCTTGCGGAAGCACGCGGCCAATCACACGCACGCGCGCACGCACACGCACCCGCACCCGCACCTGCAGCCGCGCACGCGAACGCGCACGCGCACGCCGCACGCGCAAGCGCATGCACAGACACACCCACACCCACACCCACACCCACACCCACACCGACTCACCAACCCCACCACCCACACACACACACAGACGCGCGACACACGCGACACGCGCAACACACGCGACCCACGCGACACACGCGACACACGCGACACACGCGACCCACGCGACCCACGCGACACACGCGACACACGCGACACACGCGACACACGCGACACACGCGACGCACGCGACGCACGCGACACATGCGACACACGCGACACACGCGACGCGCGCGACACACGCGACACACGCGACACACGCGACACACGCGACACACGCGACACACGCGACACACGCGTCACACGCGACACACGCGACACACGCAACACACGCGACACACGCGACACACGCGACACACGCGTCACACGCGACGCACGCGACACACGCGACGCACGCGACACACGCGACACACGCGACACATGCGACACACGCGACACACGCGACACACGCTCACACACGCACGCACGCGCACACGACACGCTCACACGCGCAGACGCGCACACGCACACACCCGCACACCCGCACACCCGCACACCAACATACCCGCGCACACGCGCGCACGCGCACACGCGCACCACACAATTGACATGCACCACCCGCACAAACACAAACAGCCCATTCACAAAAAACATAAACATTGGGACGCGAAGGAAAGGACACACACACACACACAAGACACACACACAAGACACACACACACACAAGACACACACACACATACACACGACGCACACACACACACACACGAGACAGACACACACACACAGACACACACACCCACACCCACACCCACACCCACACCCACACCCACACCCACACCCACACCCACACCCACACCCACACGCACACGCACACGCACACGCACACGCACACGCACACGCACACGCACACGCACACGCACACGCACACGCACACGCACACGCACACGCACACGCACACGCACACGCACACGCACACGCACACGCACACGCACACGCACACGCACACGCACACGCACACGCACATGCACGCACACGCAGATAGGTCGGACACACGCACACACACACACAGTCAGGACACACATAAAAACACTCAGGCACAGACACCCGCACATAGACACACGCACAGACACAACCACACAGATTCGTACACCCATATACACGCGTGCGCCGACACCACACACACACACGCACGCACGCACGCACGCACGCACGCACGCACGCATGCACGCAACGCACGGGAAACACACAGACACACAACACACACAGGACACAGACACCACACACACAAATCAGACAACACACGCACACACACACACACAACCAGCACACACACACACAAACAGCACACACACACACACACACGGGCACGTGCACGCGCACACCAGCGCGCCTTCACACGAACACGCGCAAACGCATGCACACGCACGCGCGCATGCACCCACACGTGCGTGCATGTGCGCACCCACACGCACGCGCACGCGATACGCACACGCACGCGCTCACGCACACGCACGCAACACACAACACAACACAGGCACACGCACAAACACATGCACACGCGCTCGCAATGGATGCGGACATGCCTTTATACAGGGGACAATGTGCTGTCTCCTTAGCACCAGGCTGGGAATCATAGAATTTGAGCTCCAAACTTCGGCTCCAGGCTGCCATCTCAGCGCTGGCAAAGGCCGAGCTGTGGCAGGAGGCTTTGGGCTTGCTGCACCAGGCTTGGCACCCCCGGGTGAGGTGGGCAAAACTGGGATCGATGCAGCCAGTCTCCGTCAGGGGTTCGGACGGCTGTGCCAGGTTTGGTCGGAGGCGGATGTGGCAGTCTTCAACGCAGCCATCAGCGCTTGCGACAAGGAGCGCCCCCAGCCTGACACGAACTGCAAGGTTCAGGGAGAATCCCGGCCATAAACGGGTGCAGCCGCCTTCTTCATTGTTTACATTGGTCATTGGGTAGACTTTGGGTGGGGTGGTTGCATAGTGCCATCCTCAAAACTGGAGCCCAACCGTTGTGAAAGCACCAATCCCAAGAGTACATTTATGACTAAGCTGCCAAAAACCCCCGGCTTCGGCAGCAAGATCTATGTTTCAAATGTCTTTCAACAGCTGTCCTATGATAATTCTATGTGCTGTCACTCAGCCATGTGCTCTACAGCCAGCATGCCGTGCCTAGAGATTCAGCTCATCTTGCTGAAGGGAGCTTGTGCCGGTAAGCCCGGTCAGAGGGTCGATTACTCTTGACACATTTGGCTGTGGGTCAAAACCCTGTACCCCTGGTGAGCATCAAAATAGGTGGCGAATGGATGTTCATCTACCCCAAAATGGAGTCATAGGTTGTGCCCCATGGCCGTTTTGTCGTGAAGTGCGCCACTTGGAATTTTCAGGCGGGACAATGGCAGCAAGCTGAGCATCTCCTGCAGGACTGCGGGCTCTGAGGGCTGTCCCTGACATGTTTGGATGGAAGCTCGGTGCTTGTATGCAGTTCCATGCTTACGTGCACAGATGGATGTTACTTCAATTTCAGCCTTGTGCATTTTTGGACACGAGAAGCACATGTGGATGTCTCTGCCTACAGATGTGTCAGCATAGATGCGCAGATACGGGAATGCCCGGACGCATCTCTATAGTTATACACCTCTAGATTTCCATAGAGTTAGATGCGCACATGTGACACAGACACACATATATATATATATATATATCAATATATATATATATATATATATATATATACTAAACCAACACCATGTTTGGACGCTGTTCCCCAAAAGCTTAGCGGCAGGTAGCCGCTTCAGAAACCCAGGAGTTCGAGTCCGTGTCCCCAGACCTGGTGACGTGGAACACGCTGCTGAGCGCCTACGCTTCTGGCGCCCAATGGCAGCGGGCTGTGTGGTTGCTGGCGGGCCGTTCGGGGTGGGGCGGTGGGGCGGTGGGGCGGTCGGGTCGTCAGCAGGTTGTTTTTTGTCGTTGGAGGAAAAATGGGTCATCCATGGGCCACGGCGTCAGGGTGTTGGTTCTCGGGATTTAAGGCGCCCTTCGAAAAGAAGTCTGGCGTTCTAGCCCTTTCCACAATTCTGGCGCTCGAATTACTGCTCTTTTTTGGACATAAACAGTTCCAGTTCTCGGCCATTCTCGGCCAATGGCCATTTCGGACCTCTTCATTTCTTTCAAAAGCCCGGCTGTTCTCAGACCAGGCGAGCATGGCTTCCTCCAGCGCCGGCGCCAGCGCTGGCTTCGGCTTGTCCGCGGCGGCGCTGCCGGCGCCGGAGCTGCGCAGCTTCAACACGGCGCTGCACGCAGCGGCACGGGGCGCCCAGTGGCGAGTGGCCGTGGCGATCTTCGCGCGGCTGGCGGAGGCGGCGCGGCCCAGCCAGCCGCCTGGCTCGATCGCATCAATGCGCGCGCGGGAGCGGGGATCGACCGGGCATCCGGAGGTCTCAGGGGGAGTTCTCACGTGTAGGGAAGGACAAGGAGACGGAGGTTTGGATGAATGATCTCTTTTTTGGGACTCCCGGAAAGGAAAGCATGGGGGATTGTTTGTAGGGGTCATGCCCTCAAGAACTTGCTGAGAATTTGCAAGTTCAGTTCTGAAGCTTCACTGGGCAAGCACGTTGAGCGGAGGAGGAGGCTGTGCCGGAAAGCCGTGATTAGGCTTCCTGCGTTGGCTTGTCACGGACGCGCAAGGAAAGCCCCGGCGTCAAGCTGTCATGCAGTGACACCTGCGCAAAGGAAACCCGTCTGAGCGAGGGCACGTTTGCCAGGGCCCTTTATCCACAGTTCACCCCACCTTTTGAGCCTTCGCGCCCATTTTTCGAGGATTTGTCGACCACTGCCTGACCACTTTTTGGTGACAGGGCTACAACTTGAAACCTTTCAAGGATTGCACCGCACAGCTTGAAGCTTGAAGTTGGAGTTCGCGCTTCCTCCCTCACACGGCGGGTGTTCGGCCTTCTGTCTCGCCGCTTTTGCCAGATATGAAGCTCTATGAAGCTCGGGTGACGGTTGGGTACACATGAATGCCAGGATTCCGATCCTCATGGTTCAGTCGGCCCCTTTACCAACCGACTGGGAAGGTCTGAGTTGGTTACTAGGGTTCCAAAATGGATACCCACTGTTGACCCACCGCCATTTGAACCTATTTTGGGTTGGGATGTTTACTGGGATTTTCTGGGGGTACGGAATTTTGGGTTTTGACCCATGGCGTCACGGAAGGCACAGCTGCAACACCGTGCTCCACGCCTTGGCGCGGGCCGAGCTGTGGCAGAGCGCGCTGCAGCTGCTGGAGCAGCTGCAAGCGCGAGGCGCGAAGAGCCGCGGACGGCTCGGGGTCGTGTGGCGGTGGCGGGGCGGGAAGAGGGAAAAGTGGGGGGGGGGGGGGGTGGTGGACACATAGGGTCTATTTCGCAAGTTTTTTGTTTTTGGGTATTGGTGTTTTAGGTTGCAAAATAGACTCTAGGTGTCCATGGCACGGGGGAAGGGGGGGTGGGGTGGCCCAAATTCAAGGAAAGCGGCAGCCGAGTAGCCCCTTGTTTTGATGCGACGGTCTTCTGATGCCACGTTGCCCGACCTTCAAAAAACACTGTAAATACCGTGCAAATCGCCCCGGACAGTCGCCAGCATCCCCGCCAACATCCTCTGCACCCTCGCAAACTTTGCCAGCATCCCCAGCATTCCCTGCATCACCAGCATCTGGGCGTTCCAGCATCCCAAGGCCGCAGTTGAATCGCTCGCCCTCCCACGTCCGCTCTGACGCCGGCTCTGGCGCCCGAGAAATAGCAACGGGAACATGTTTTGCTGTCCGCAAAAACGGATTCCGCAAGCAAGAGCCACTTCTGGCAGCGAAGCAACGCCCAGGACACAAACAGAACTACTGCTTAGGGGACACGAGAAGACAAGATGAGCCCAGAGCCCTTCCTGCTATTGCGAAATCACCTCCATCAAAGCCAGTCAGACAAATGGAGAGTGACACCTTTACTATCTGCTGGACATTCTGCTCCTTGTCGCCCGGTGTTCTCTCCATTTTTTGGTGGCGGGTCAGGCGAGAGCGTCACGGTGCCCGGGTTCAGCGCAATCATGGGAGCGGCGGGCTTAGGCGTGTTTCGGCGCATTTTGCGCTTAGGGCTGGCCGGGATGAGTCAAAGGGGCTGGTAGGTTTCCTATGGTTTCCAGCTTTTCCAAAGCCCCGAAGACAAGCCAGTCCAAGCAGTTTTGAGTACCCTCCCTCCCACTAGCATGGCACCAGACAAAAACCCGGTCCCTCCAAGAGGAAGTTGATCTGCCAGACACCTTCCCACAGGCGCTATGCTAGCGGGAGGACAGGCGCATTCGACTTTCCAAGTTGCGCTACGAAGTAGCGCATGCCCATTGGGTTCCCCTCCAAAATGCTCAAGGCTTTCTTACAACGACTTCGTTGCGGCAAAAACGCATGGCAGGCAAGCCATCACATCCAGGCAAGCTTGCCGTATGGGAAATTCATCCTGAACCCAACCCTTGATTACCTCCAAGTCAGCTACGCAATGGCCATCTCCCTTGACCGCGTCTGCGCTACTTGTCTAGTCGCAAAGCACAGGCACACCAATTCGGAACCCTCGCAAAAGAAGCGCAAAGGAACTCGGATCGGAGAAGCACCACGAAGAGGGCGAAGTCGATCGACACGAGGTCGTTTTCGGGACCGGCAAAGACGAACCTTTGGTGCATTTTGCCAAGGGAGGTTAGGACTTTAACTTTTTGCCAACGAATTTGGGTTTTCCAGTAAATCACTAAAAGTTATTCACTTGTAGCAGGGGAGCAGATTTCGCAACCAAGTAGCTTACGTGGTCTTTCGTTTCATCCCATGACCTCAGCTTCATTCGGCTGTACCATGGTGGCAAGCGGCAAGCGGCAACCCGGACTGGAAGTGAACCCAGTCGCGCGGCCTGCGGAGAAGTTTTGCCCATGCCCTGCAAGGAAAAACTTCGAAATGGAAGTTGCGCAATGTGGGAATGCACGGGGCCGCCTTCATGGAAACCACCAGGGATGCTTCACCGCTCTTGGCATGTTTTTTGGTTTTTATTTTTTTTTTTATTTTTTTGGTTCTGTTCATTTTTACTGGGGGTCTGCAAAAGACAAAGTGTATTGCTACCATACCAAGAGTAGAGAAGGATGGTTTAGAAGGGTCATTCCCAACATATGCCAAAAATCTCACGCCAGGCCACCATTTGTGTGTTTTCTCGAGGGTGCCGTGCAGGTTTCGTGCCATTTGGTGTGTTTTGTTTTTGAGGGTACCACCCGGGTTGCCTCAATTTTTTGGGAGTCGCCTAGGCCACCTTTTTGGGGCTTCCCATCCGCCGGATTCACTCGGCCTGAGACCGGCCCAAACTAGAACCCTTCCCCGCCTCAGCACCATTGGGGACGCCCCCCCCTGTCCCGCCCCCCTCCCTCCCTTCCAAGATGATTTCCGGGGGTGCGGTCCGCCAAGTCTGGTCCGAGTCTCCGGTCCGAGGCCTGCAAGCAGCGGGGCCTGTGGCGCCAGGCCCTGGCGCTGTTGCCCCACGACGCCGACGCTCGGGCCTTCGCGGCGGCGGTGAGCGCCTGTGACGCTGGCGCGGAACGGGGGGGGGGGGGAGAGGGGGGTGGGGGAAAGGGGGGGAGGGGGGAGGTGGGGGGCTTCCGGCTGTTGGGGGGGGGGAGGTGGCGGGCCTGCCTCCGGAAAAAATGTGGGCACCATGAAGGCAAAGAGGGGTGTCGGAAGCCAAGGATTGTTGTTTTGTTAGTTTGTCATTTCTCTTTCTTTGTTTTGTTTGTTTATTTGTTTCTTTGTCATCTCTGTTTGTAATTTGTTGTTGTTGTTTGGTGGAGTTGCCCTTTCGGTACGGAAAAACTATGAGGTGAAAAGGGAAGCCTCAACAGACACAAGCCACACTGTGGGTATGGTATGGCATGGCATGGTATGGTGTGGTATGGTATGGTATGGCATCGCAAGGCATGGCATGGTTTGGTATGGTATGGCATGGTATGGTATGGTAATTATGTATGGTGCAACAGTGGAGGAGGCTTTAAAGGCAGGTGCAGACCAGCGTTCTGATTCCCAAGTGCACGCTGGAATTGATTCTGGCCTTGCTGGCGCAAGTCTGATCCAAGTTTTCACGGTTGTTGTTGGGACACATTTTACATTTTTGCTTATGGTGGTTTAGTGGTTGAAATCCAACCACTGAACTGCTAAGGTTTAAATTGTTGCTCCCCTTCCAACGTCAACGAAGTTTTGTTGGAGCGCCAAAAGGTTGTCCCTTGTTTCTTTCTAGATCCATTGAAATCTGAGGGAGTTTCTCCGGCAGATGGGCTGTACACAAGCCTCAAACATCACCGACCTTTTTGGCTGCTGGCAGCCTCCCTGACCGACAAGTATCTCTTTTTCGCTCATTTCCTTGTCAGGACGCGCTTTCTGTGGGGCTTCGGGATTTGTGGGACTCAAGCTTGCACTTTTTTTTGGGCGAGTTCCTATTGGCTCAACACATCCCTTTGACCCGTTCAAAGCTTCAAAGGCCCAAACCCAGCCGAAGCTTCCCGGCTCCGCTTTCTCCAGCGCCCGAGCCAGCGAGCCAGGGCTTCAGTGGCAGCGCGCGGTGGCGCTGCTGGAAGTCATGGCCCGAAGAGAGCTGGCCCCGAAGCTTCGCTGGGAAGTCGGCGGGACTGGGGATGGGGTCCCGCCTGATTCAGTGACTTAGTGGCGGTGGTCTTCTGTTTTGTTTGGTTTTTGCGCGACTTTTGCAGCGCAAAAAAAGGGCAAACCACCGTGGAAGGTTGGCCACTTCTCTTCAGAACCCCGGAGATGCAGCCGTGCTTTCGCCCCGCTGGCGTTGCATGCTTCGCCTCGAGGTGATTCGTGGTTTGGGGTCGGCAGGGCTGAAAAGCGGGCGGAGCTCTTTTGCCCGCACGGGGCCCGTAAAATGTCCCAAGCCAAAAGGGTCTGCCTTTATTTTGGGTTCCCCTAAAAAAGCCTAAACGGTGCTGGATCGTGTTTTTTGGTTTGCGCCAGGTTTTTAGCATCGAGCAGTGGTGCGCGGGACATATGTGATTGCCAAGGCCACTGCTCCCTTTCCTCGAGCCTCAGCCGACCGTGGCAAGAGTGAAGCCAAGTCGCCTCCCCCACAACAGTGAGCTTGGGTTGGTTTCCATGTTGTGGACAGTTTCCAAGCTCACCACGGTGGCCAGTGCACCCAAAGAGGCTCAACGTAAGGGCTGGACGCTCGCTAGAGGAGCATCCCCATTTTTTGTTGGTTCCCCATTTGTCCTGCAGAGGAGCATCCCTCAACCAGTGGCCATTTTTCCTCATTCCCCCCAAGGACAGAGGGCTTCCTTTTCCAACAAAGCCAAGGTTGATGTAACCAGAGGCCAGAATTTGGTTTGATCCCAGGAGCGTTGAGGCGCTAAGCGCCGCCTGCAGCGCCTGCGCTCCTTGCCGGCGCAGGGAGTTGCCGGTGGGGGTCTCCTTGCACCCTTTTTGCCGAGTTTTTGTTGTTGTTGGGTGGGTGGGTGGGTGGGTGGGTGGGTGGGTGGGTGGGTGGCTGGCTGGCTGGGTGGGTGGGTGGGTGGGTGGGTGGGTGGGTGGGTGGGTGGGCGGGTGGGGCTGGGTGGAGGAACCTGAACGCGGGCCAGTGGCTGTAGCTGGCTCTCGGGCCTCATTTCGGGAGTGAGGCATCGAATGCTGACAAGGGTGAGATTGTGCATGGGTCCAAAGCCAGTGGCACATGCCAATGACTTTCCCACCCCCCCCCCAAAAGCCGAGCTCCGCGACAAGTCGATCCCAGGAGAAGTGCAGCCAGTGGTCCGCCGCCCTGGCGCTGCTCTTCTCCTCCACGACGCCCAGTGTGGTGACATGCGCCCCGGCGAAAACCTCGGGACAGGAGCCGAGAGCCGAGACTTCGAGACCTCGGGGCTCCTTGCAGAGCCATGGAAGGTGTGGGGTTGTATGACAGGGCTCATTCTTTGGACGGTTTCCGGGGGTGATCAAAGCCAGACATGTTTTGTTTGTTTCCCCAGAAAAAAATAGCACTGAACGGGGGTGACATTGACCATGGTAAAATAAGGAGGCCAGAAAAACAAATCGGCGCATGCGATGCGTGGATGCTGGTGGCAAGCCCGTTTCATGCACTGGCAGCTTCTTGCGACCTGTTTCCCTTATTGGCTGACTGGAGGCAGCGCGACAGGGGACGAGGGAGTAGTTCTGAGTGGCGGTTTCAAATCAGTCCGTAGCACAAACGGGTTATTTTGCCCACGGATTTTGAGCATAAAGGAAGCAACATTGCCAGGCTGAAGCGACCTGTTTGTCGCTTCCTGAGCCCGGGTCAATACTTGGGCCCAGCGAAGCCCTGCTGGACGATTTTGTTTTTTTCGCATCACCTCAGAAACCCTGGTTTGTGATTCGATTCCCCTGTTACCAACGAGCGGTATGGGTTTTCGGCCACGGTTTCATTTTGCGTGGCGCGTTTTTTTGGAAGTTTTGTCCATGGGTCTCACCGGTTCCCAGGTTCCGGGACTTGAGCCAGGCGTTTTTTTATTCATTTTTTCTTTTTCTTTTTCGGTTTTCCGGGGGGGGGGGGGGCGCGGCGGATGGTTTGTGGAGGCATCCAATTTCACTCGACAAGACCAATCTGACAGAGTTGCTCTGAGCCTCCTTTAAAAGGCAAAGAAGTCATGATTTTGTAGATCCACACAAGCTCGACAATGGGTCATGTACCTTTCGGATTTCCCTTTGGAACCCAGCACCAAGGGAAGCGTGGTGCCCGAGACACTGAGTCGCAATCAAAACCGATTCGAGTAAATGAAGGTCAGGGAAGATTTCCTTGCCATAAATAGCTGCGGATTTTTTTCGCAGCTACCATAAATAGCTGCGGATCTCCGCCTTCTTGTCCTTTGGTTCTGGAAGCAACTTTTTTTTTGGGGGGTACCCTCCTTGAGACTAACATGGCAGCTCCCAGCACCCTTTGGAAGATTTGGTTCCATTTGCAGAGGCCTTCTGGGAGCTTCCATGTTAGTCGGGAGTGTACCGGGTTTTTGATCATGACTACTTGGTTACAAAAAAGGTTATGGTTCTGTTCGTCTTTTCCATTTACCGAGGTTTTTTTTGGGTTCTGGGTTCACCTTTCCACCTCCAAGGTTTTGATCACACCTCGGACGAGGAAACAACGGCAAGCCTTGAGGCAGCGCGGCCATCGCGGCCTGCGCCAAGGCGGGCCAGGGAAGGCGCTGCTGGCAGCTGTTGGAAGTCATGGAGGAGCCAAAGGGAGGAGAAGAGAAAAGAAGAGAAAAGCAGAGGAAGAAGAAGAGAAAAGCAAAAAAAGAAGAAGAGAAAAGCAGAAGAAGAAGAAGAAGAAGAAGAAGAGAAAAGCAGAGGAAGAAGAAGAAGAAGAGAAAAGCAGAGGAAGAAGAAGAAGATGAAGAAGAGAAAAGAAGAGAAAAGCAGAGGAAGAAGAAGAGAAAAGCAGAAGAAGAAGAAGAAGAAGAAGAAGAAGAAGAAGAGAAAAGCAGAGGAAGAAGAAGAAGAAGAAGAGAAAAGCAGAGGAAGAAGAAGAAGATGAAGAAGAGAAAAGAAGAGAAAAGCAGAGGAAGAAGAAGAGAAAAGCAGAGGAAGAAGAAGAGAAAAGCAGAGGAAGAAGAAGAGAAAAGCAGAGGAAGAAGAAGAAGAAGAAGAGAAAAGCAGAGGAAGAAGAAGAAGAAGAAGAAGAAGAAAAAAGAGCTTGCAGAAGCCAATGCATCCAACAAGTCTCACTGTTGGGACTGGTACATCTTGCGCTTCACGCGGGGTTTGCGCTTGGACCTTTCCTTTGCGGGAGTCCTTTGAGACTCCTGGCGCCTCAGATCTTTTGACGGCGAGAACGTTGACAGAACCAAGATCACCACCAGGCACATGGAACCGGACACCGGGGCCGACTCATATCACAACCTGTTTTAAAGGGTTGTCATTGACCTGGCTTTTTCTCAGCTCCTTGGCAACTCCGAATTCTGGAGTAGCAGAGTGACTCGTCCTCCGTAGCCACGAATTTCCACCTCTTGTTGTGGCCTTCGGGTACAGTAGGGCATCATGTCCCATCACCGAAGGGTTTTCCAACGCATGGTAAATGTAAGGATATGTAAAGATACTAATATGGCCATGGGGCACAACCTACGGCTCCATTTTGGGGAGGATCCATTTGCCACTTATTTTGATGTTCACTAGGGGTACAGGGTTTTGATCCACAGCCATATAAGTATCCTTCATTTCGTCGCATGTTGCGCGGATCCCAAAAGTGTTGAGTGGCATCAGGCCCCCTGCAACACCCTTTCTGATTTCTGTCCTTTTCTACAACCCTTTTTCAATGGCCGCACCATGCAAAGCAAGGCCGAGGTTGCGACGGAGCAAGCAGACCGCCACCTCCGCTTAAAAAGCTCAAGGGGGCGCGCTGCAGAGGGGCGCAGGCTGCAGCCTCTCCGCATCTGATACCCAATGAGGCTGGTGCTGCAGCGATTTGGGAGCGCAGCGGTCATCCTTCTGGCCTGTCTTTGGGGTCGATCCACGGCATTCACCTCACATCTGCCATCACACAGCCTGGCGCCTGTGGGGTTCGTGACCCGGAGCGCCGCGTCGGCATCTCTGGAAGAGGCCGGAGACGGTCTTGACGTTGTCTTCGAAGACGAGCATCTTGCCGTGCTGGTGAAGCCCAGCGGACTTCTATCGGTGCCCGGGAAAGAGATCAAAGACTCGTTGGCGACAAGGGCGGCGAGGCATTTTGGGAGAAGTCGAGTCGACCGGATGATCGTGCACCGACTGGACATGGCGACATCTGGTCTCCTGGTTGTGGCTCTTGAGAAGCGGGCCCTGGCAAGAATGCACGACCTGTTTCGCGAGAAGAAGGTCACGAAACGGTACACAGCGCTGGTGCACGGCGTTTTGGACGGCGAAGGTGAGGTGGATGTCCCGATTCGAAAGGACCCGGAGAATCCTCCGCTCTCCATGGCCGATCCAGTGCACGGGAAGCCTTGCGTCACCAGGTGGGCCGTCACGGGCCGAGGCCCAAGCTGCACGCGGCTGGCGCTGAGCCCGGTCACCGGCCGCTCGCACCAGCTGAGGGTTCACATGGCCGCGCTGGGGCATCCCATCCTCGGGGATTACTTCTACGCCTCCGGCGAAGCCTTGGAGATGGCGCCCAGGTGTTGCCTCCACGCGGAAGAATTGTCCTTTGCACACCCGATCACTGGGGAGCAGCTTGTCTTTCATAACCCCGCGCCCTTCTAAGAAGGGGAGGGGGTCAGAAACTAGTTTCCACAGTTGACATTCAATTCAAGAGACTTCTTGATAGCTCTTCACGGGTTATGAGCTCAGCTTTGGTGGCCGAAGTGTTTACGCGCGCCTCGTCAGAGTCGCCGGAGGAACCTTTCAGCGAAAATGCCATTGAGCCGCTAGGCATCTCCTTCAATGGTTGGTTTGTCTGCATCTACCTCAATGTCCGTAGCCGTTCAGGAGTGTTTTTGTGGGGGGCCTTCTGTGTTTGACAAGCAGTTGACCTTAACGCAATCCAGCCTTGATGCCATGTTTGGCCGTTTGGCCTTTCATGTTGTATTTTACTCATCGGTGTATGCGCCGAGTCAAAAAGGCACCCTGCTGAGTGGCAGCTAATATAGGATTCAACCAACGAGCAGACTATTTCCAGGACAAGTCCTGATTCCTCACTTCTCATGGGACATTCCCTCGCTTGCCAAAGAAATAGACCCGGAGCAACGTGCGCCGTCACGGCAGGACTGGCAGCTGGCACCTGACAAGGCGACCTACGGCGCGGCCGCTTGGCCGGGGGGGGGGAGGGGCGTGGAGCGCATGGAGTGAGGGACAGGCCATGGACGGTGGGAACCCGCAGCGAAAGCGTTTTGCTTAGGTACTCGCCTTGCCACAGGGGGCTTCTTGGCAGAGGGGCCGGGAGGGCGGAGTCAGAGGCGGTTGGAGGAGGACTTGTGTCCCGAGTCAGGCGAGAGGCCAAAATGACGCGGCCTTGGAGATTTTGGCTCCTCAAAGTCTAGCGTGAGGCTTCTGCCACGTGTGGATGGCGATGAACGGTTGGATTGGGTTGCGGGTGACGGTCCTTTCGAGAGCATCCGTTGTTGCCCTTCTACTTGACGTTGCCAACTGCCTGAAGGTGGATGGGCCAACCATGTGTGGGCAGTCCATGACCTGCTGAAAATCCACAGTCACTTTTCTTCCGGCCAGAGGACTGCTCACTTGCCCAAAGCGCATCGGCCTTTTTGCCTTTTCAGGTTTTGTTTGGGGCGCTTTGTTCCTGGCCCAAAAGCTCCGCCTTGAATTTCCGGCTTCATGGAAGGGCACTGGAGGGTGGGGGGGATCCTTTGACCAGAGCTGGGGGTATTGCCGTTCGACCGACCAGACCGATTGGGACAAATTCGACCGAAGCGACTGGGTCAATTGGAGGCCGGGCGGTTTCTGCCTTTGCTGGCGCGCATGGACGCCGCCCGGCTCCAGCCGGACGCCGCGCTGCTCGCGGACTTCGCCGGCGCCGCGGAGGCCGCGGAGGCCTCGGAGGCCTCGGAGGCCCTGGGCGCGGCGGGGCTGCGGGGCCGCTTGAGGCGGGGCTTTGGGCGGCGGTTTGGGGCGGTTTGGGTTCGGGCAGTGCTTGTTCCTAGGGGCAGCTTCCATTTCCATTCAGGGCGCCTTCTGTTCAGGAAAGCATGCAAAAAAGTCAGGGAGAACGGTGGATTGCCGAAAGGCCACAGGAAGCGGCGTGCGCAGACGCCGCGGGTTCCCACGTTCGGCCTTGCTTTCCGGTTTTGGACTTTCTTTGTAAGTCAAACTTTGTTTTCTCGTTGAGTCGTCGGCATCCGCAGGAGTCGAGCACCCTGACCGGTTCCTGGATGCATCCCAGGCATGCTCAAGCACAGAATGTACCCAACACCTTTTGTTGGTTCAGTTGAAAAGGAGGGTAGCATGAACGTTCAAACGCGATGTCAGACCTGCAGAGGGGAATGCTGTGGCATGCTATCATTATTGGGAGTCTCGTGTGAGCGGCGACATGGTGAGGCCTGATCGGTTCGAATTGTTGTTCCGAACCGAGGCACATGAAGCCGTCGCGGCTGCTGCCAATGAGAAAGGACGAGTAAACAACAGGTCACCCACTGATGTTCGCCAGGTCAAGCTTGCTCTCCTTGCTGAAGCAGAAGCAGTGGAACCAGAAGGACGTGCGGGCTCGGGCAGATTCAGGATCTATTGCACGTCTGCCATTGCAACAGTATCCAAAACATGGTTGTTGTTGGGAAACATTTTACATTCTTGCTTATGGTGGTTTAGTGGTAAATCCCCACTGAACTGCTAAAGTTTAAGTTTTTGCTCCCCTTCCAACGTCAACCAAGAACGCAGCGAGTGCAGCTCTTGACCTGCGGCAAGAGGCGAATGTGCCTTGATGAACACCATTCTCTTCGAGCCTTCAAGTGCCACCTTTCAAAAAGCCAAGCGCGTGAGGTTTGACGTGTGCCACTGCGAGTGTTGTCTCGTTGTGAAAGTGAAGGCAGCTCGCTGTGTTTACCAAAACCGCTTCCGCGAGTCTTTGGCTTCAGGCCGAATCCGGGGGAAGCTTCCGCAGCCATATGGAGCCCATCACAAGGGCCGGGAGCCGGAGGGGCGTGAAGCCAACGTCCCTGCGGCAATGCATTGATATGCTCCAGGAGAAGGCCCATCTCCTGAAGATGCAGGCGCTTGCGCGAAAAGAAGGAGAAAGAAAACACGTTCTCGCGCAAAAGAATAGAGTTGGGTCGGAGCTGGGAGTCGGGGGGTGCTTCCTTTCAAATCGAGACAATCTAATTGGTGACAGGCTCAGAGGAGCCTGGATGAGCTCAGCCAGCTGCAGGAGGTGCCTGAGGTGCCTGAGGTGCACCACTCCTCAAGCTGCAGCTTCCTCAACCCCCAGACGCCCAAAGTGGTCCACCTCTGAAGCCGCCGGAGACGAAGCCGCCGGAGACGTCTTTTCGGGTGCGTCGTGGTCTTGTTTTCGGGGACCCCTCCAGCTCCAGCCCCAAGAAACGAGAGAACGCGTTCCTTTTGGTCGGAAAAGTCAGACGGGTACCCTGAAACAACTCGACACACCCTGTCCAGTTGTCGCTATTTCCCGAATTGCAATGGAGCTTGAAACAAGTGAGGGAACCCCCCCCTCAGCGCTTGTTTGTCTCGTTTCGGACCTGGGGCTTGAGCTAGCACGGGCGCGCGGCATAGTGACAACACGCAGGCCATGCAGGCTCCGCTGTGTTTTTAGAAGTCACGAGCTAGGGGTGGCTTCTGGTCTTGGCTTTACCTTGGTGCCTGGCGTAATCTGCCACGTCACCGCCAATTAAGACTTGCGCAAGTATCCAAATATTCTCGGAATGGGGATGCCTCAGTGGTTCCAACTGACCCACTTGTGGCCTAAGAACCCGAAATTGAGCTGAGCCTGGGCGCAGGAAAGCGCTCTTAGCAAGCAAGTTTCAATGACCTGTCAGTTTCAAGTGGCAGGCCGCAAGTTGCGCAGAACCTCTTGTCCCAAGTGAGTGGTCCATGTTTTCAATGAGCTGCTTGCCCGTTTGTTTTCCAAGTACATAAGAAATGCCGCAAACATGTCAAAGGTGTTACCCCAAGTACAAGAAACATGCCACAATATCAAGGGCAGCATCGCAGATGGGGCTTTCCCTGCTTGGATTGGATGCGCGTTTTTTTTCGAGGTTTCTGCAGTGATGCTCCGGGGGCTCTCCCCCCTTTTTTTTTCTCATCGGGTTCGGATCGAAGGAATGTGAAGGTGAAGCTCTTGTTTGGACACATGTGTTTCATGAATGGATGGTCAAGATGGTCCAGGTCAACACATTTTTGCAGTTTGTTATTATTTAAGGATGGTCAAGATGAATGTTTAAGGAATTCCTCGACTTCTATTCGACACGTGTAGGCGTCGAATAGGAGGGCATCATTGGCATCAATCGCGCACAGGGGAGGTGAAAGGCTCACCGCGCTCTCCCGCGCTTCCTTAAGCTTCGAGCTTGCTCGTTTGCCTCTTGGCCAGAGCAGCTGAGACGGCACTCCGCGCAAGTCACACCTGCGCCGGGGGGAAAAAGCGCCATTTGCGCGCCAAGAGACAATTTCGACTTGGGACGTCCACACCATGACGCAAGACGCAGCAATGTCGGTGCAAAGGAAGTCTGAGAACTGGGGTTTTTATTGCCCCAATGAGCTCAACGCTGGATGGAGCGACAGGTCAAAAAATGACCCCAGCTGCAACCAGATCAAGAAAAGACCTTGGCCAGATCAGGAAACAAATGTGCCCATGGCCTTTGGGATGATGTGATTTTTTCCGGCTGCGCTTACGGAGCCGCTAGGGGATAAAGCGTTTCTGGCAGGAGCTGCGCTCCGGCCGGTGAATTCATCACAACAGAGTGTCCGGCCGGGCCGAAATTTTACACCCTGGTGGGCCGAAAGTCCTGCTCAATATAAGGGCACCAAAAAAGGATGGTAAAAATAAGGTGGGCCAGCCTCTTTGGTGTTTTCTTCTTCTTATGTTTTGGGGGGGGTTCTTTTCTGAGTTGTCCATCTCATTCCCGAGTATTTGGTGGCCTTTGGCCAGGATCTGTCCATGGCCGCCGCAGCCATGGAGAGCCTGCTGAGTTTGGGGGCCACAGAAGAGGCCGAGCGAGTGCCGAGACTTCGGGGCTCATAAGCCGTTGCGACAGGCAGGGAATGACCTGGAGATAAGCCATCCCACTGGTTTCCTTTAAGGGAATCCCTGACTTCATCTCGAAATTGCCTGAGCACCGGCAAGAACAGTCAAGGGATTCCCGGATACCGGCCCCTTTAGAAGGAACATGGTCCAAACCAGGACCCCCAAACGTCAGGTTGAACGTTATCCCAATCAGGGAATCAGGGACGTGAATCAGGAAAAGTGAGGTCCGAATCAGGTGCGATGTCTCAAATCCAGGCCCGGCCGAATCAGGTGCGAGCACAGTGTAGGTTAGGTTCAGCGGCTTGTTTACATTCGTGGCGGGGACGTTTCCAGATTCGTGTACTGGCAGTTACGGAATTGGTTTAGGGTTGGTTTCGGGAAGGTTACGGTTTAGCCTCGGGGAGTCGTGCGCAGCTGACCCTTAGCAACCTTTTTGCTTCTTGAAGGTCGAATGGAATCCGCAACCTAGCCCGTGGATTAGCTTTGCCCTGCTGTGCATTCACTGGCTTCGACGCTGGTCGGGTTAAGGGATTCTCGGGCCAGGGCTTAGGGGTTTTGACCGTCTTGCGCTTTTTTTTTTGGGCTCTGGCCTTGGATAGCCGCCAGCGCATCGCGGGAGGACGCAGGCCCGCAGCCAGGGCAAGAGAGTGGGTGAGAAAGAAAGAGAGAAGCAGAGCCTGACTGCAGTCGGCCAATGAGCGCAATTGTACGATTCCGACCAAAAGCAGCCTGCAGCTTGCACACCAAAATGGGCCCGCCAGGACAATCGTATTGTAAGCAGCCTGCAGGGTAGATACTTCAGCATGCTCACCAGGACAAATGTAAAACTCCGCCCCGGCACAAAGCAGCCTACAACTTGGACAAATCAGTGGGCCCATCAGGACAATTGTAAAACTCCTCCCAGCACAAAGCAGCTTGCAGGGCGGACACTTCAGTGGGCCCACCAGGACAAATGTAAAACTCCTGTCCGGCACAAAGCAGCTGGGAGGTTGGACACTTCAGTGGGCCCACCAGGACATTTCCCCTCCCCGGGTTGGACACTTCAGTGGGCCCACCAGGACAACTGTAAAACTTCTGCCTGACACAAAGCAGGAGACTTCCTCCCCGGCACAAAGCAGCTTGGAGGCTGGACACTTCAGTCAGGACAAGTGTACAACTCCTCCTGGGCTTGTGAACGATCGTTAGTAATCTTGCCCAGCTACCCGTAGTGGTCCCGCGTTGCCTAAGTAGCGGCTACCTTTTCGGCGCCTAAAGGTCAGGTGTGCTGCAAAGTACGACATGGGAGCACACTACTCTTGGTTGGTGTTTTGATCTGTTCCACCAAGAAAGGTCTGGAAGGCCTCCTGCTTTAAGATGATTTTGGTGCCCCCTTGTCGTGGTCCCCGTCGGACAGGGGAGATCCCCGTAGTGGTCTCTGTGTTGCCCGTAGTGCTCTCCATAGAGATCCCCCTGCTCGCCATAGTGCTCCCCACGGCAGTCCTCGTAACTTCTTAGTGGTTCCGTAGTGCTGCCCGTGGTGCTCCTGCAGTGCTGCAGGTAGTGATCGTCGTAGTGCTTCCGTAGTGATTTTCGCGGTGCTCCCAGCACCTCCAGTGCTCCGCGTATTGATCCCCGTGGTGCTTGTCGTAGTGCTTCCAGTAGTGCTCCCCGTAGTGATTGCCGCAGTGCTTCCCCGCACTTTGCCGTTATGCATTAATTTCTGCTCAATAGCAGGCACCAAGCAGTGGCATTGGTTTTGCTAGAAGTGTAGGCGTGGCTCCGTAATCGGTATGTGTTTGAGAGGACGGCTGAGAAGGCAGCCTGTCGTGGGTTCATTTGCATGCTCCGGGCATAATGCCGGATTGTGTTACAGACGACATTAGCATTGCCTCCGTCCCAGGTAGACAAGGACAAGTCGAAGGGCGAACATATGTTTCGGGCCTATTAGGGCGTGCTTGGAGATTTCACGTCGCTATTTTAAGTTTGCTCCTCTTGCGTATTTTTGTTTGCTCTGGCGTTGGGCAGTCGCCAGCGCATTGTGGGAGCACGCAGGCCAGCAGAAAGAGCCAGAGACCGGTAAGACTGGGAGAGAGAGAGAGAGACAGAGAGAGAGAGAGAGAGAGATAGAGAAAAGAGAGAGATAGAGAGAGAGAGAGGGAGAAGAAAAAAAAGAGAGTGAGAGGGAGGGAGAGAAAGAGAGAAAGAGAGAGAGGATCTTGGTCTGCGTTCCTGACCTTCTGGGCTGCTGAAGTTCACCTGTCACAGCATCCTCTTACTTCCACGCACGTGGCTTGGAGTGCTGCAAATGGCAGGCCTATTGTTGAAGCGTCGCGACATGACGAGGGGCAAACAGGTAGCATTTACAGCACCGACGTCCTTGTGGCTCGCGCACGCGGCCACAACGTACTTGTAGCCTCGGCTGCTGGCGGAATCTTGTTTGTGTAATTTCTGCTGAGTACCTCCTTCTGGATAGCCGCTGCTGCACTCGCAACACTCTTTGGCGCCATGCTGTTTTGCAGAAGAAAAGGCAGTCGTCTGCTAGGGGCCAGGTCGGTCGAAGCCCAAGAAATGTGAAGGGACACCCCTATTTGAAACGCAAAGGCGCCGGGTTATTTTTCACCCTTCTTACGAGTCACACGGATGTATAAGGCCGAGGGGCGGCACCACGCCGTCACTCGAATTGAGGAGCTGGATTCTTGCCTGCCCCCTTGAAACACAGCGGCAACCCTCACAACTGCGGCCAGGCCGACCTTTGCTTGCCTTGGCGCCGCTTTTGCCTGCACTGCATCATCTCCCAACATGTCCATGGGACGAACAGCTGGTTTTGCAGCTGCTTTCACCGTGGCCACCTGCAGGTCAACAGCGCTAAGGCAGCTCGAAGCAAATCACAAGGTCTCCCTTCGGCCCCTGGTCAGACTGCGCTGGCGGCCGCGGCGGTTTCTCAGGCTGCAAACGTCCACGGCGGGAACCTTTGAAAACAGAAGCTTTCAGGCCTTGGCTTTCGCCTTTGCCTTTGTCTTTGCCGATGCCTGCAGCAAGCCGCGCATGTTCAAAATCGCAAAGCCAACTCCAAGCATATCAAAGGCAGGACTGGCTGCTGCGGATGCTCCTAAGACTGCAAACAGCCTGGACGGCAGCCTGTTCCAGCCTTGGCTTTCGCCTTTGCCTTTGTCTTTGCCGTTGCTTGCAGAGCTCTGATGCCTCGAGCGGCCGAAGGCTGCCTTCATCTATGCCTTGGCCTTCGCTTGCTTTGGCCTGCTAGACTGCTTATAAGAACTTGGAAACCTTCTGCGCTTGCTCATCGGAGAAATACTCATGTTTCTGCGGAAATCAGAAAGGAGCTGGCCACCCTGCCCTGCTTTAACATAAGATTAAGTTGCCCTTCAATCATTGCACCCTAATTCCCAGGAGCACAGGCCCAATACCCGCACATGCTCCGCCTCTTGATTGTTTACTAAGGCCCCAGGCTGCAAACCAGCCACGGCTTGGGTCTTCGCCGTGGCGTCATCCAAGTTGCCCTGGCGAGGAAAGCAGGGATTGTCAACATCGGATAGTCTGCAGAGCTTCAGCTGCAGAACTTGCGCCGCCTCTTTCCAAACAAGCACCCATAGCCTCCAATAGCAGTGGTCCTGCCGCCAACAACACGCTGCTCGTCTGCTGGCCCTTCAAGCCTTCACAAGCCTTGAAGCAAGGTGAGTTGACGCAGAAGGGGTTGCGGAAGATCCAGAAGCTGCGCGCCACAGTAGATTCCCAAGCCTGGCACGAACAAAGCTGCTGCCCAATTGTTACGCGCAGCACGCCCACGCCTGCATGGCAGCGCCCGGCGCGTAGTGGAGGCGCAGCTCGTGCATCTGGCGGTCTGCTCCGCCGAATGCCAACTGTGACCACCTAGGCCCCAAGAGTCGCGCGGGTTTATTTTGGCAGGAAAAAGCGCAAAGTGGCAAGCTGGCAGTTAGCCCCAAAAAGATCCTGGCGCAACGCCAACAACGACCAGCTCTCCCGATCTGACGAGCTGCCAGCGCATTCTTTAATCAGCTACCCCTAAGTCTCCGGTATTGGTTTGTTTCGCGCGAGATGGAAAAAACCAATCGAGATTGGTATTTCCCATCGTGGATTGGTAAGTGGTGTAATATCAATATTGCAAGATTGGTTTGTCAAAAATATCAATATTTGACCTTCCCTAGCAACTAGCTATTTTGAAGGTTTCCTTCCTAAATTGCTTTGACTTTGCAATTAGGAACCTTCTGACTTTGCAGTCAGATTTATGACTTTGCAGTCATTTCCCACCCTCCCACCACCCCCAGAGAACATGACTTTGCAGTCATGCCCCACCTTCCCACCACCCCCAGCCCCACCTGAAAGCTGTTGGCAAATGCCCTCCTCACCACGAACCTTAAATTTAGGATTGCCACAACTTCGCACCCCCCAGCCCCACATCACAATTAACCACTCCTGGCCCCAGACAAGAGCTGCTGGCAAAAGCACTTTTTTCCTTAGGCAGATTGGCCCAGCTGCAAAGTCATTGCTACATCGAGTTTCTCTGACAGCAAAAATGGCATGTCGCAAGTTGATACCCCCCTCAGGCAGCTGGAGCCAAGCTCAGACAGCCTTCCAACAAAATCTTCACTTCCATAACACCACACATAGCGAGGGTTCAGAGTCAAGCCTTGAATGGCTAGCTCATTGCAGTAATGCAATTTTGGAACCATTGACTTTTGGCAGGTTTTTTCTTTCACTGCTTTTGCAGCCAGGAACTGGTATGTTTGCAAAGCAGCTTCCATTTGACCCAAGGCTGCCCTTGCTTCTTGTTTCTCAGGAACCAGGCCAGAGTCATACACATGGTTGTAGTACATGTCCAAGTGTGCCAGGAGGTCCTTCCTTTTCAAGGAGTAAGTGCTTCCATCACACCAGTCTCTGCAGAGCTTGGAAAACACTGGCACCAAAGTCCTCACCTTAGAGCCAACTTTGACACAAGAGTTCGCAAA